TAGGGCTGACTCCTTGCTATGTCCTAACCAAAAATGTTGTAATAATACATGGTTGGGTATAGACAAGTCTAGGCCAGAATGTGTTAGGATTGAGAATCGGTCCTAGGCTGCACCTATGGTTTCCTTCTCTTTTTGTTGGAAATTGAGGATCTCTTGTCATAGGGCAGGAATTTGGGATATAGGTAAGAATGCAAGACATAATATGTTCCTTAATTCTTCCCAATTGTTAGCTACCTTCCCTACATTATGGGTGTACCATTGTTTTGTCCTCTCATCAAGTGAGAAGGGCAACAACTTCCACCAAAGTGTGTCTTGTGACATGCCTAAAATGGTCAGGCAAGCTTAGAGCTGCTCAAACTCCCTAAGGTGATGATAAGGATTTTCATAATCGAACCCTGAGAAGGTTTGTTCCTGAACCATGGCTATAAAGCTAGGGAAGAGTTCATAGCTAGAAGTTGTGATTGGCTTCGAAGATTGTGGTGGTTCTAAGAACTCGCCCTTGGGAGCAGAAAGTTGGTGAATTGTTTGGTGCTCCATTAGAAAAGAATAAAAAGAAAAGAAAGGTAAAATAAAAGATACACAGGTGACTAGGTTCAAAGACTAAAACAACAACCGTTCCCCAGCAACGGCGCCAGAAATGCTTGTTGGCGTTTCTTAGCGTAAGCAGAGGAATCTACAAGCACACGGATACACCGTTATAGCACTTCACCCGAAGGTATTTAGGGTACATATTTACCCAAAGGAAGGGATGTGCGAGTCTCTTAGCTAGTTCACCTAAAGAAAACAAGAGAGAGGTAGCTTGGGTAGTGAGTTTTTTCTAAGGATAGATATCCTAATCGAATATAACTCTTACACTATAGACTTGCTTCGGGCACCAAAGCACACCTGATCTACCAGGTGATACCAGCTTGTAGCCTACATCGAACCCAGATGTGGGGGAATATGAGGGACGGACAGGACTGTCACCACCTGCCGCCTACCCCTCAACCATGGGGAACAAGGTAAACGAAGATAGCTTCTAGCCTAGACACCACGTCTATGCTATCGACTATTTCTCTTGCGTGCATGCAAGGGTTATCCATCTCTATCAGGGCCCTTCTACTAGAGCAACCACCACAAGGACAGACCATGAATCCACAAGTTTATAATGGACAACGGTAGCTTTCTTAGTATATCAATGCCAAAGTTAAATATGAACTTTTTACTCCAAGTAGTAAGAAGCTCGTAGAGGTACAAGCAAAGGAGTGCTAGCTCTGACATGCTTGCGATCATTGTAACGAGTACACTAGGGGAGGTTGCCGATAGCTCTGGCACTTCTCCAACTCTTCCCTCACTCACTCCACTCTTATTCTAGCTTAAGCTAAGTAAAAATGAAACTCTCCCTCTCTTCTTTGCTCTCTTTGTTGTGTGTTTAGAGGGGAGCCCTACACCTCTATTTATATAGGGAGGATGGCGGTGCTTCAAGCTATGTTTGTGTTTGGCGCAAAACACCGGGCTGCACTGAGTTAGCATGGCGGCATGCCACCACCATAGCAAGGAGAGGCAGGGCGACGTCCAGAGGGCAGCGGCCTCCCCCTAGGAATGCCACCGCCTTTGCGTGGCAGGCCTTGGGCTGGTCATGGGTCGCTACCCCGTGGGGTTTTGCCCATTTTGAGTTGGTATGGTGGGCGTCTCCCTTGCTTCTTTGCACGAATCGGTGTTGAAAAACGCCTTTTTGGTGAATTATTCCATGTATTTGTGTTTGTGACCTACAAAATAATGTTCTCCAAATACATGTGGAACTTGGTTAATAGTAAATGCATATGTAATTAAGTTTGCTCATTTCTCCTCTTTTTGTCACTTAATTGATGGTCGGATTTGATTGGTAAAGACCGCCAACACTCTCCTTCCTCCTCGCCTCCATGGGTTCTCCTTCCTCCTCGCTATCTGAGTCCACTGCGATTACCACCGCCGACTTCCTGACCATTGCCCTCGACGCCACCGCCAAGGATGAGGGCATGTCTTGCCTAGCCTTCTTCTTCACTGCCACCAGCTGCTTCTCCTTCATCAACACTGCCAGGTGCTTCTCCTTCCTAGTGATGACGACAGTCTTCTTCTTCAACCCCGGCGGGGCGGCTAGGACGGCTTTCTTCTTGAAGGCCGGCATCTTCTCGAACCCCGGCGGGGGGCTCAACTCCTCCTTCCCCACTGCCGAGGATGAGGAATGATGGGCGAACCTCCTTGTCTTCTCATCCCTCAGGTTGTGCTGCCTCTCTAGCCTCATCATCTTCAACGGCGACGGCTGTGGGTACGGCTGCGGCGGCGGGCCCGGGAGGCGAGAGGAGTGGAGGCGGCTTCCCGCATGGCGGGGAAAGCAAGAGAGGATTGGAGAGATGAGAGGCTAGAATGATTGCGAGGACTGCACGCATGGCGGGGAAGGCGAGAGAGGAGTGGAGAGACAAGAGGCCGGAGTGAATGCGAGTGAAAGGAGTGGCAGTTCCAATGCTTTGAACTGCCACTCCTCTCTCTGTTGGAGTGGTGAAAGGATGCCCTTCGGATGCGGACGGCTGCAGCTGGTTCCTCAATTGGCCTACTACAGACGATTGTTAATAACATGGATCTGAAGTAGGACCCTGACAGGATGGCCCCACCACCACCCTGCTTTAATGTATTGGAAACCTTTTAAAAAATAAACACTGCTCCCCGTTGGAACTTAAGAATGTAGCGCAATAGTTAACTCATGGGGTTGTGGGCCTGAAGGTCCTGGGATCAATCCCCGCAGGGGTACAAATTTTTTGCCTTTTATTTTACTACTATAGACGTGTTTTTACAACACGCGTCTGTAACAGGAAATCTTTTGTGGATGAATGCTTATTTTGGTTAACAAGACGATTTCAAATCAAAAAGTTGTCAACTATAAAGTTTCATAACTTTTTGAGATCTACAACTTTTATTTTGGTAGTTTCTCCATCCGAGGTCATTTAAAAAATTCAAATTTCAAATTTCAAAATTTTGGAAATTTAAACTTAGTTTTCCAAGACAAGATGATTTCAAATGAAAAAGTTGTCAACTAGAAAGTTTCATGGCTTTTCGAGATCTACAACTTTTATTTTAGTTCTTTCTCCATCCGAGGTCATTTGAAAAACATGAATTTTAGTAGTTAATTTTTAAAATTCAGCGTCTATTTGTAGAGGCGGCTCAATAGAGTAGTGTGGAACATCACAAACACCAATATAACATGAATTACAACTAAAACATCTCAATTTTTATCACTGCTACTTAGGATCGAACATCAACCATCACCAAAAGCAAAAGTTTCGATCATGTCATCCAGATATATATACATATCAACACTCATGCCCATTGGCAATCAAGGAAAAACCTACGACACTCATTGCGGATCCTACACTCCTCGCTATAGAACAGGGCCCATTGCTCCCATGCTACCCATCCGGCGATATCGCTGTAGCCTCTGCCTCGGCACTAATGCCCATCCTGGTGAGGCACCAGATGGGCCAGAGGAGGCAGATCAGGCCTCGCTGCACGGCGTGGCACCACCAAGTCATCCTGCAACACGACCCTTGCCTGTTGGTGGCATTGTGCACAGTTCTTGTTCTTCCACATCGCATTCTTCGCCGTTGGGCCCACTTCATCACATTCGACCTTCCGCAACAACCGTCGGGCAGTGGTGTCGTTGGTAGCACCGCTATTGGACCTGTGGAGCACAAGAGAGAGAACATACATAGCCAGTTCATGCCCTGACTCGGCGGCGTGCTCCTGCATGTCGAGCCGTGGCGTGATGGTGCCACGGTCTTCCACGAAGACGGCAGACATTCCAGCTTGGAAACAGGACTCCAGGTGGCCGACACTAACGAGCCTGGTGATGAGGTTCGCATAATAGTCACATGAGTAGAAGGGCTCCTAGCCCACATGCTATAGCACCGACTCCAGTGGTATGCTTCGTCCCTCATAGGCATTGTTGCATGCCCTTTGCATTTGTGAACACGATGCCCGTAGGCTGCCGAGGTCCACCATGGGATCTGCTACGGCCTTGGCGACGTGGCTCGCAACCTCAGTAGCCAACTCTGGTGGAAGCTTCTCCATGGTGGTGGTGGCGGCAGTGGTCGAGGGGAGCGACGTGAAGGCAGAGAGCTGAGTGTGGAGAGGTGGATCGCTGGGGAGCAATGCAAAAGGTGAGTTTCTTGAATGAAGGTGGAGAGGTGGAGCGGCGAAAGTTTCTTGAATGAAGGTGGGCAGCAATGCAAGGTGGAGAGGTGGGATTTTATGAGCGCGCTTAGTTCTTGAAGTTTTCATGCAGCCGCGGGAATGCCAAACGTCGTAGCGATATGAATTAGGTAAACCGTGTAAACGCGTCTATAGTTCCCTAGGCTGCCCCCATTTCATTCTTGTATTTACTATAGACACGTTTTCCAAACACACGTCTGTAGCATAACTGCTGTCTCATTAATTCCTACTGCAATATGATTCAATTAGATTAATTAAGGAATAAAACATTCCAGCCTTCACATACACAAGTGACAGCAAATTTGGACAAATTTTAGTTGCATTGTCACTATGTTCACTCATCATTTCAGTTGCATTCGACATCTACACATAACAAATTTGGACACCAAATTTCATCCATCCATTCATTCATTCATCCAGTTGCATTGAACATCTAGTTTCATTCATTCAATCAATGCATTAGGGATTACTTCATTACAACATACATCAGACCACATCCAAGGACAACACAAATGATAAACATGTTCATCTTCCACTTCAAATTCTCCAGCTTCTGCTCCAAGTTTTTATTCTTGGTGTCACCATTTGGACTGTCTACTGAACCTTCTTCTTCATCCAGCAGCTCTGCCCAATTCGAAGGGCAAACAATTATGATGCCACGATCCTTCAACTACTGGAAGTACTCCTTTTTGAATCAATAGTAACCACACAACTTAGGAAACTAAAAAATAACCACAAATTAGAACCCTAACTGTGCAAATTGGGGGGGGATAGCACTACAAAGAACTCACCCCATTCCTAGCACACTTGAAGTAGAGTCGGCCATGGTTGTCACCATCCTTCAAGGTCCGCCCCTCCACCATCCGAGCAAGACCCCAATCCGAGCAAGGGATCAGTGGGAACCCTCTGAGCTCACCAACTAGATCTGGAACAACGCCGTGCTCAGAACCAATGTGGTTGCTGTGGGCACCTTGAAGCCTACTCCTCGCCCGTCCACCTCCAAACAACTCCATGAAATGAGACATCGTGTCTCAAGCTGGGAGAAGGGACTGAGAGCTTGGCAGCGGCGACAGTGAAGGAAGACAATGAGAAGAAGTGAGGTAGACAGAGTGAGGCTGAGATAGAGGGAGACGGAGGTGGATATATATTTAATTTGGTCCAACCTTGCTATAGACGCGTGTTAATAATGCATGTCTGTAGTACTTTGCTTGTGTACTTAGCCATTGGCACATGCTAATGGGCAGAGGGAGTGCTCTGTGTACTTGGTGCATACAAAACATAGTGGGTAGTGGCCGTTGTTGCGTGCCTCTCATGCGGGTGACGCCGGCTGTTGTCGCGTGCGGCGTAGGCTTGCTGCTTTGAGGCACGTGGGCGATGGCCGAAGTTGCGCGGCGCTCTCATGGGAGGAGGCGCATCGCGTAGGTGGGCGGCGGTCGGAAGAGCGTGTTGCTGTGGCGAGCGATAAGCCGAGGGGTGTGCTACTATAGCGAGCAGCGGTGGGTGGCCGTAGGGCCGCATTGCCTTCTCAAACTATAGGTAAGCTCAAGCCATCGGTGCTCCTCTCTTTTCCTCTTCTCTGTTGGAGCACCGCTTTCTCAAACTATAGGTAAACTCGAGCTGTTGGCGCTCCTCTCTTTCCCTGTTCTCTGCTAGAGCACCGCCACGATGCTCGACGACAAAATTCATCACCGTTGTTCCATCCTCTCCCAATTTCCCATGCTCCTAGCTCCACCTAGTTCTTGCGGTCCTCCTCGAACCACTATAGCCACCTCTTGCCACCGCAATCGCCTTTGGCGTCAGTTATCACCACGGCCGTGCCACCATGGCCGCCATGGGTAGCTCACCATGGCCAGCTCGTTCCAGCACTCCTCTAGTGATCCCATTTATTGTTTTAGCTCTCCTGCAACTCCATGATGCTCATCGGCTCCATTTGTTTACCTCTAACGCGTAGGTCACGCCGGAATGGCGACCTCGCCACCAGTTCGTGCTGCCGCACGTGCCATCACCATCGGCCATCTAGTTTCACCTCATCCTCAGTTCAACCAAGCAGCGCATCGACATCGTGGTAAGCTGCTGATGCTGCCTAAGCCCTTCAACTAATCTCTACCATGTTGTATCGGCTGGAGCACCACCGCACCACCGTTCTATGTCCACCGCACTACCGTGGCTTTTATTCTTCCATTTTCAATATTCTTTTGTAGACTATGGAGGATCGAGGCCACTGGATGTATCTTTAGAACCATACTTGTAATGAGTACTTGGAAGGACTAAAATATTTCATAGCTATTGCAGAGGCGGACATGGGGAATGGACATAAGTCATCTATGTTGTGACCATGTGTTGACTATAAGAATGAGAAGCAGTACTCGAATCAGTTGTCAGTCCATGCCCACCTAATTCTTTGAGGATTCATGGGTGACTACAGATGTTGAAACAAACATGGGGAAGAAGGTGTCAATGAGCGAGATGGTGAGGAAGGACTTCATGAAACTTGTGCCGGTGGCAATGAGGAAGCACCCTTTGGCAATGAGGAACTATGTGATGATGATGTAGCAGAGATTGCTGCCAGCCCTGTCCCTATGGTTGAGAATCTAGAGGAGATGGTGCGTGATGCCTTTGGCTTTGATGAGTACACTAGTTTGAAGTTCAAGAAGCTAAAGCAGCTATTGGAAGATATGAAGACACCACTCTATTCGAGTTGCAATGAGAGGTATATGAAGTTGTCCGCATCACTGGACTGACAAGGGCTTTAGAGAATTTCTAGAAGTTCTCAGAGATATGTTTCCTAAGGGGAATCAAATACCCAGGACTACATATGAGGCCAAGAAGATTGTTTGTCCGATGGGATTGAAGTTTGAGAAAATCATGCTTGCAAGAATGACTGCATCCTGTTCTATGGTGACAATGCAGCCCTCACTGAATACCCCAAGTGTGGGACTTCTCGTTACAAGCGAAGAACTGACAAGGGTGATGACGGTGTGGAGACATGTCGTAGAGTTCCTAGGAAGGTTGTTTGGTACTTCACTATAATTCCTCGCTTGAAACATTTGTTTGCAACCTCTAAGTATGCATGACTGTTGAGCTGGCACTCAGATGGGCGGATGGTTGATGATTACATACAGCACCTAGCAGATGGTCTTCATTAGCGTGTCATTGATTTCAAGAATCAAACTTTTGCTAATGAGCCAAAGAATCTTTGGTTTGTACTCAGCACAGATGGCATGAACCCATTTGGTAACATGAGTAGCTCACATAGTGTCTGGCTGATGCTGTTAGCTATCTACAACCTTCCCCCATGGTTGTGTAACAAGAGGAGGGACATGATGATGTCAGTTCTGATATCTGGTATGTGTCAACCAGGTGTTAACATCGACAAGTATCTAAGGCCGCTTATTGATGATTTCAAGGAACTCTAGAAAGAAGAGGGTATTAGGGTGTACGATGGGTTCAGGAAAGAACATTTCAACCTACGTGCCATGCTCTTCACCACTATCACTGATATTCCAGAACATCGTAGCGTGTCTGAGCAGAGCAAAGGAGAAAAAGACTGTTTTCATTACTTAGATGACATGGAGACTATTTGGCTGAATAACTCAAAGAAGAGGGTCTATGTAAGGCACCAACATTTCCTTCCTATGTCTCATCCATACTGGGAGATGAAACATCAGTTTGATGGCACTCGGGAAATAGGATCTACACAGGCATTTTAGCGGGCAATAGGTATATGACCAGGTGGTAGAGGATACCACGCCTAAAGTTGACCTGGAGAGCATTGCCCTTGGAAAGCGAAAGCGTAGTGCAAAAGTAAAGAGTGCCAATAAGAAGAGGTGGAAGAAAATGTCAGTCCTGTGGGAACTGCCTTACTGGAAAGACATAGCAGTCTGCCACAACATCGATCTCATGCACATGAAAAGAATGTCTATGGGAGTTTGCTTGGGACACTCATGAATGACAAATGGAAAACCAAGGACCATGCAAAAGCAAGAGCTGACCTAGAGGAATTGGACATAAGGCCTGAGCTCTGTCCTGACGGTACCAGTGCCCAGCCACCTCTATCTGCTATAAACCTAACCTGAGAAGAGAAGCAAGAATTGTGCGACTTCTTTCATAGTGTCAAACTTCCCTCTAGATATGTAGCCAACATCCGAAAGCTTGTGCCTACAAGAGAAAACAAGATGCTTCCCAAGAAGGCTCATGATTGCGTTGTCATGCTCACAACAATGCTTGGAGTTGGTATCCAGAACATATTGCCAAAAAAAACCTAAATGGCAATCATGAGCCTCTGCTCCTTCTTTAATGCAATCTCTCAGAAGGTCATTGATGAACAATCACTGGAAGATATTGAAAAGAACATTATTGAGGCGATGTGTCTCCTTGAGGCTTCCCACCAACTTTCTTTGACATATCCGTCCATCTCATTGTACATTTGGTTAAGGAGATTAGGTATCTTGGACCAATGTTCCTCCACCACATGTATCCGTATGAGAGATTTATGAGCACTATGAATAGGTATGCCAAGAGTCAGGTCCATCCTAAGGGAAGCATGGCATAGTGCTATTCTACTGAGGAGGTGGTTGACTGGTGCCTCAGTTACATGGACCCCACCAATCCAATTGGCATCTCCAAGTCTCACCATGAGGGAAGGCTAATGGGCAGAGGGTGTGTTAGGGAGAAGCACATTACTCTTGAGAGAGATGCCTATGAACAACCCCACTTTCTAGTGTTGCAACACATAGAGGTGGAACCTTACATCAAAGAGCATATGGAGATGTTGAGGCAACAAAACCTGCACCGGGGTGAAGCTTGGTTAGCAAGGGCACATATGAGTGGGTTCAGCATCTGGTTCAGAGATCGACTTGCCAGTTCAACCTCTTGCACAGACGAAAGGCTTTGAAAGCTGGCAAAGGGGCCTTTCTTTAGAGTCATAACCTATCAAGGCTATGATATAAATGGATATACCTTTTACACCATTGATCAAGACAAGAAGAGCGTGTACCAGAATAGTGCTTTCATGTAGATGCATTTGACAGCAAGATGCAGAAGGCAACATACTATGGTCAGATTGAAGAGATATGGGAACTCTTGTATGCAGGCTTCAAGGTGCCCATTTTTTTGGTGTCGATGGGTTCAGGGAAGTCAGGGTGTCCTGAAAGATAGGTATGGCTTCACTACGGTTGACCTCAACCAAGTTGGGTACAGGGATGAGCCATTTGTAGTCGCAAGTTAGGTTTCCCAAGTCTTCTATGTGCACGACACTAGAAACAAGAAACGACAAGTGGTTCTCCCTGGGAAAAAGCGGGTTGACAGACTTGAAAATCCAGTGGATGAGGAAGAGTTCAATCAATCCAATGATGTGCCTCCTTTGGATACTTCCATCCTCCCTATGATTTTAGCGAGTGAGCTAACTCCATACCTAAGAGATGGTCGTAAAGAGGTTGCCCCCGTGGCAAAAAGACGCCAAAAACAGCAAGTACGCAAAAAAAGATGCTCATGTGAGTTTTTGAACAATGTGCAATCTCATTTTTTAGTTAACAATATATATTTGTCGTCACTCTTACTTATAATGTGATGTTACTTTCAGGAACTTTCAGGAATGGATTCTGGCTAATGAGAGAAGTTCATGTCATCAAGGATGTAAATTGTAGAATGAGAGACGTAAATTATACTAGATAAGTTCATGTCATCTAGTCTAGGATGTTAAGTCCACAACTCCTTGTAATGTGTATGGTACCTCGTGGATGTATGCTGAAATTTGCTTATCAAGACTACTTCATTTCATTTGTCTCATGACATGCATAGGGTACATGTGCTGCTAGAATTTGATGTGTCATATCGGCACACATATGAGCAGCACACATAATCATCCATTCATATCACAGGAGCAGCACACACTTATGAGCAACACACACATATATAGCTAATTAACATGTAGGTGTCCATACATATTCCAGCAACATCCAGTCACTGCTATGGTCATAACAGCAACACACATAACATATATATACATTGATAGCTCTCTTGTCCT